GGTGCACTCTGAATGGAAAAAAATAAACTGGAGAGCCCCCCCGTCACACAGCCCCCCCCTCCCCAAGACTCGTCATCTGCATTTGACAGGACCCCCGTTCTCCTCTCTTCACCGCCCCTTTTCTTTTTCTTTCTCCTTTTCTCTCCCTGTGCTCTCCATAATCCCCCTTTCTCTCTCGCTCTCCCTGCTAAGTGCAGCTGTTGCTCTCTATTGGATCGTTTTTTTTTTCAGACTGATTGCTAATTAGGATAGCTTTTTGGTGAGTTTTATCTTTAAAACTTGTTAAACTTGCAATTTTCCTCTCCTTTTTTCTTTTCTTTATCCCTGCCGTTCTTAGAGGGAAGCAGAGAAAAGACGTAGCCAATTATATGCAATTTACTTTAGGCTGAGCATTTTCCAGACTGCACAATGTCCCATGCAGCATTCATATAGTTTACAACTACTGTACTGTGCGGTAGCCTCTTATAATACTGCTCACTTCAGCTTTGAATGCAAAATCCTACTTTGAAGAATAGACTGCCCCATCTCCCTTATTCTGCTCACATAACTGAATCCCTGGGAGAGGGAGCAGAGGAAAAGGAGAGCCTGAGAAAACAGCAATTCACACACCAAACACAGAGACCCCTAGTAGCTCAACAAATGAGTGTCTAGCCCTATGTCCATTCATATCGCCCCTCGGCCGCAAGCCTATTAGCCAGGCATCGCTCCTTGAACATTCACTGTCGACAACATGTGGAGGCATCGCTATAGCAACCAGTGGATATGACATGTGCAATGGACGGGGACTCCTGAGCTGCTGAATATAAGGAGGGGCTCAGCCTTAACTAAATGATCGCAAAAAACCCAGCCCCACCACCTCCCCATCTCTTTTCATTGGCACAGAGGCGCTGAAAGGACTCACTAGTGGGGCTTCTGCACATTCTTCCGAGGCTCGGAAAATCAGGCGGGCATATCCCACATTCTTCTCCCTTTTCTTATTCTCTTCGACTCTCCCTTCCCCCCCCCCCCTTTTTCTTCATCTTCGTGTTGAAGCCGCGGTCTTTTGTTGGCGCTGGGGGACGCATGGGACCCTCGCAGGGGAACTTTTTAGAGAAGCGGACTGAGTGGGCGGCCGGGACGCACAAACGCTTCTTGGAGCTGCGGCGAGCGTCAGTGGTTAAGCATGCTCTCTGGAATACAGGACACAGCATCCTCCGTTTGCCGCGAAACGTGCGCTCTGCCCCGCAACATGGATTTAGGTAATTATATCCATCAGGCTTGAAACGTGTAACTGTGTGTGTGTTTTTTTTTTAATGTTCCGTGTGCAAGTTTCAATGCGCCAAATGCGTAAAAGGCGCCTTAAAGGACCGGCTTTGATGAGTTTTACTGTTTTGCAGAATATTTTCGGAGCTCTGGTTTCATGTTTTCATTTTGTTTCATCCTCTCTGCTACGATAAGCTGCTGGAGGACGAATCTCCAGAAGCTTACGGGATAAAATATGATCGAGCAACGGAAAAAAATGGGATGTGCACCCACATATAGTTAGTCAAAACGTAAACTCGTCGAAACAATCCTGGTCAAAGTGGTTGTTGAGCCCGATGGTGTTTGCTTTGAGCACATCTGGCTGCAGAGGACAAAGTTTATGTGCAGGTTCATCCTGCCCGGTGCTGCCCGGTTTATACAGCCTGAAAGCTGGTAAATCCGCTGTTTTTACATAGATTATTCTATTTTAATAGTGTTTAGTCCAAAAATAATTATCTTTATCTAATTGATATTGTATTGTTTTATTCTATTCTTAGATTTATTTTTATAGTTGGATTACCCGGCACATTTTCTGTTGCAGGTTTTATGGTAATGTGAGTTTGTCCAAATCTAATTGCTTTATTTTTTATTTCTGAAATTAATCATTATTTTCAAAGGTTTACAGAGATTACAAATTTGTCTGAAAAATATTTCTGACTATTGCCACTGTATTTACAAAATTTCAACAATTTCTTCTACTTGGTGTTGCCAGTGTTTTCTTAGATCTATGAAAAATATGCTTCTAAAATGTTAATACATTTTGCGTTTCATGTGTGATCTTTTCAGTTTATCACAGGGCTATCAGCCACATTTTATTGCATAGAAACTACTTTAAATGTATAGCTTCAAACTTCCTAAATCTTCAATTGTAGCTGCCACTTTAAAAACAACAACAACTTAAACAACCTTTAGAGTTGAGGTTTGGCAGTTTGTGTGTTTGGGAGGATTTTCTTGTACTTCTTAGAGGTATTGTGATGTGAGTGAATGGGTAGCCAGCCGCCCCAACAACACCTCTCTGCCTGACCTTTCCTCTATCATTTGAATAATCCAGAGCACCGAAATCCATCTGCCCCTTGTCTCCTCTCAGATTGGCTAATTCACCACACAGGGGCGATATGAATAGAAGAGAGAAACAGAAGAGGAAAGTCTGTAAGAGGCAGAGAGTAATAACTTCACTGAGTGTGGATCTTACACTAATAGCAGTGGGGAACACGATTTTAAAAATACATTTACTGAGTTTGAAAATAATTCATCAAGGGAAACAAATCTGATTCTTTATTTCATGGCAGTATTTCATGTCGATCTTCAATTGCAGTGCATAATCATGCTCTAACCTTCAGTTTAAAATATTGTGTAAGCTTTGATTTAACAATTTGTGTGATTTCTTTTTAAATGTAATTTTTATGTATTAATATTATTCAGTGTTTCTGTGTTTTTAAATATTTTAGATAGATAAATCTATGTTTTAAGACATACTGTAATTATAGTAAAATAAAATGATTACAAAAATACATAAAAATATGTATTTTTAAAAGCAAAGGGCCAGAACTCTAAAGGGCCATGGAGGTAATTCTTCGCCTCACATCTTCTCCCTTTTCCTCCCCCTCTTTCTCTCTCCCTCTCTGTATCTCCTCTGGTTTCCTTCTAACACGATTACCGCCTTCAAACACTCTTTCATGCTTGCAGTGCGTTTCAAGCCTGTTTGCTCCCACAGTGGAAATGCTTCTTTTTTATTATTAATTTCAAGGTGTTTACTTAAATAGTAGGAGTAGCCACAGATTGTAGAGGGCCACGTCTTGATTAACTCGATAAGACCTTTCTCTTTTTTCTTCTTCAGAATATAGAGAAAATAATTGAGTTAAAGGCAATAGCTTGGGATGAGGATTTGTCAGGGAGATTTGAACCAATAGATCTATAGGGGGCACTTTGGTTTCAGAGTCAGCAGTCTTTAACGACTACTCCAATGTGACATTCTGTGTCTACAGCGCAACAAATGTTGAATATTAAATACGTCTAATGAGGGTTTTTAATGTGCTTTATATTCAGTCTTCTATTGATGTGATTATTTGATCGAGGATACTGGCTGAAAGGTTTGCATTCTCAACAAGTACTCATGGAAATTGTGGAAATTGACTATATATTCATTTGATCACTGCACAACACGGACGAGTCATTGGATTGAGGCCATCCCTCCCCTCTGTTCCCATACATGAGCCTCTTCAGACCTCTCAGTTGTTGTCTAACCTCTTAATGCTTGATTAAAACTACATGCTCGAACCACAGCAATTGCAATCAACAGCGTATGTCGTCAGGCCCAACACGGTAATCGAAAAGACCTTGGCATCCGCACATCCGCTAAAACATTGGCAATTACGAGCCACAAGGTCAAACCATATTGTTACTGGGGTGAGCTGAAGTGTCTTGTTTTGAAAACGGTATAACAAGAAGTATAGCCATCCTTCAGCCGGCACCATTAGACCCCTCAGGCTAAATGTCAGAGCTCTGCCATTTTTCTTTTTCATATTGTAAATTTGATTCACTTCACCCATCAATCTTTCAATCTTGCATGCAGACAATTAGGAGCCCGCTGATGTTGGTTCTCTGTTATTGGTATTGCCCTTTTGCAGATGTATAGCTATTGACATGTATGCAGCTGATAAAAATAGATCAGAAACTGTGGAGAACTGGCTTTTACAGAAACCCCATGGTTTTGTGTTAGTCATAGAGGACAGTGAGGATGATTTATGTGAATATAAATATGCTGTGAAAATAGCAGCGTTCTGTTTTTGAGAGTTAAATACAAAACTAACTCGGCACAATGTCTATATTTTATGCAATCAGCAAAGACCATCTTGAACAGTAGCTACATTTTAGGTATCATTAATTATCCTTCCAGATTAATGCTCCTAATTATCGCTGTTATGCTCTCAAAATATTCTGCAGTGGGGCCCACAGGGAATTTATCATTACAGTAAATGGCCATGAGTGGACCAATTATCAACACATAGGCCACTTCTTTAACCTACGCTGATAAAAATCTCTCAGAGAATATTGCAGCCCATTAAAAACAAGTCTGCCACAGTGAGACAAAGCCTATACCTTCCTGTTTGAATTAGCATGCAGTGTGGGTGTGAATATTTGAAAAGCCTTTTCTATTCAACTGGTGGTGGATGTATGAAGGTCCAGTCTGGGCAGCCTGTGTCTCTCCGGTCCTGGTAGCCATTAGCTGTGCGGCTTGGGCCAGGGCCTAATCCAGCCAAACTCAGGACCAGAGGAGCTAATTAAGCACAAGCTCTTAGTATCCCAACCTCCTGTAGCTGCACAGTGCCAGCCCACCCCATGCCAGCACTAAATGGGGTTGTAAATATCTATATTGGTGCAGAGTGTGGAGGCAGCACTGGACTGGGGCTGGTAATAGGGGTTGACTCAGTCTGAATATAAGGACAGTTTTAGAGCTGGCTAATGAGTGGGACTGGTCAGACAGTGGTGGGGGGGTGGAAGGAAAGAGCGGGAGAGGAAGTGGAGGTAGGTAAGGAAGCATTGTTGCGTCCACATTTATTTTTTCACGGAAAAAAGTCGAGACAAGCCTTCAGCTGAAAGATGAAGCACTACAGACCTGCTGTAAATCAGAAAAATACTACATCAATCAGAAAAAAAGACAGTGTGGCATCCTTTACTGCTCTGACAGTGTGTTCTCTCTCTGTTTGTGTGTCCTCCAGAGGGGCAGCCTGACCCAGATCCCGGTGGTGAAGGAGACCAGGGTGGAGTCGGGCCAGTTCCTGCTGCTCTCCGTCCTCTGCATGCTCTTCATCCTGGTGGCGCTGGCAGTGTCCACCACCTTCTTCTGCGTGCGCCAGCGCTCCCACCTCCGCATGAAGGAAAAGCTGGCCAGCCTGGGGACTGACACCAGTACAGATGCCACTGCAACCTATCAGGTTAGACCAGCCCCTTCGCTGTGAGCCAATCAGGTTCTAGTACACTTAGCCTGCGCTCTGCCATTGGAAGAACACACACTCTGTTCGAGGGTAGATTTTCTGATTGGTTTGTGAGAGTGTTTGTTAATGTGTGTAGATGTGTGAATGATTCTCTTCTACCTGCTTTTATGATATTTTTTGGCTGTTGTGATGATAGTGATTTGCTTTTACGATTAAATTAAGTGCTTTTTTATTGTGCAGTGCGGTTCTTATGTTCATTTACATTATTTTTATGCTCTTTATTTGTTGGATTTTTGACTTATTGCGCCAATAGATATTCACTCCATCCAGTTATTCAACGCTCAACCGGGCCTGAGAAGTGTGTGTGTGTGTGTGTGTGTGTGTGTGTGTGTGTGTGTGTGTGTG